TGAGCTCTTCGTCCTTCGCTACTTAAAGGAACTCAAGCTCTCGGCCAGTATTCGTGTCAGCCGATTCTTGCGCCTGTGAAGTTTCTATTATATTTTATTTAATCGAATCAATTGGATAAAACAGTCATTTAAAAAAGGGACGGGAAGGTAAAATTGTAAATGAGTCCAGCATAACAGGTGTTACGTACTGGCCACTATTTCTTTAAACGTTAAACTAAATGAAGCAATTGAGCCGTCCTAGATAGAGGGCGCTCCTAAGGGGTGTTAACGTTTGCTTGTACTTATTTAAAATCTATATCTAATGGCAAATACCTATGGAAGCTGAAAAACAGTCATATTAATTTAGACTACATTACCGACTTATCTTACAAACGCGTTTTACAACGTTTAAAGAGATTACAATTAAAATCTAATATATTCTGACAATAAGAGGCAAAAAAGATTTTTAAAGAAATCAATAGGGTCTTTCTTTACCTTTTCCATCAAAGGATATGAAAGATATTCTGCAAACCGATGAGAACTAGTTGTTCTGTTGTTTTTAAATTGATTTTAAGCGGCGTGACTAATGTTTGTATCGGTTGGTAGCGTTCGGACGTTGATTAACTCTAGAACCATCTGACGAAGGGTGATCATTCAGAACGCTGGGGTTCATTTGAAAGATTACAGGATTTTTATCCCGGAAATCACCCGGAGCTGTAGTTAAACCTGAACACGGGAAATGCATCTCTACCCAAAGTTGTGCGGGAGAAAGGAACAAGCTACGTCGTCACAGCCCTGAAGCTCAGATCCTCAGATCGGTTAGATGTTGGGGGAAAAAAAAAATCAGGATAGGCCAAAATGCCTCGTCTCGTTTATATCCACTCTTTTGATCCTGAAGGTTCCCAACAACATTTTTTTTCCCATTCGTGTTATGCTGAAGACTCATTTGTGTTTCAGCTATAGCGGTATAGCAGCAATGATTTAAAGCACATCTTGCATTTAAGGAGCCTACTGCACATGCATAATTTCTAAAACCGAAGATTCATGGCTCAGCACAATACTGTTATGCGAACCGACTCTATTTTGTTTTGAGTTTTAAATGGTGAATGTGGCTAAAACGGTCAGTGAATACAGGGGACACCGATTACAGGACTATATGCGACGTGTATATGGTATCGT